GCTTGTAATAGCACCATTTGTTCAAATACAGGAATAAAAATAAAGCAGTTAATCTAAGGAGTACTGACAGACAAAAAGCAGTAGCAATAAAAGCTAATTGTCTGTTAGCTCCAGGTATACTTTTATTGAGTGTTTCAATCCTAGCCTAAAAGCATATATTAAGAAAAGGCTCTGCTATCTTCACAGATCAAACAGTAACTGGAGCAGGCTGCAGTCTCATTTCTCCATATACTTTCCTTCCCAGCCCAACTCTCCTTCACCTGTCTGCCTCCATTTTGAGGATCTTCTAAAACCTTTGTGTAGGTTCCACTGAAGCTGTTCTCAGTAGCCAACAACCTGCAGTAACAAGGTGATTTCCTGGTGTCCCCACTTATATCTAAGGAAGTATAGGTTTAAGGAGGAGGTCGCTGTAGTTCATACGTAGAAAGAAGGGTCAGCTCATCTTCACGTGAGTTTGATTTTTTTCAGTGACAGAAAACATATTTATCACAAGGTCAGTAGCAAAATCAAGGCTTTCATTAATTATTTGATATGCTTTGTGTATGGCACATGTTAGACATTTGCTTGGTAGGCAGAGGACCTGCAGATTTTCTGATATGCTCTTGTGTCTAATTTAGTTTGATGCAACCTTTCTGCCTGGTCCCCAAGAAATTAGTTTTTTTAAGATGAGATTCCCTAAGTCATCTCCTATCATCTGGGACCCCAGCCCAGGAGCTCTGGGTTTCTCTTATTGGACCCCTCTCAGGTTTTCCAATAATTCGTTTATTCAACCAACAACAAAGCCACTGTGATTTTAAGCTTCAACCCCTACCTTGAAATAACAGGGCTTTGTTTTTTCTGTTATATTTATATTGATTATTAATAATAAATGCATTATTTGGTTTTGTCCTCCACTAATGGATCATGAGCATCAAGAGTGCAGAGATGAAAGAAAAAGTTATTTCCTATTTCAAGTAACTTTTATGAATCAGCTAACCCTTAGTAAACCAAAGATGGGAAATCTGACTCTTTGTCATAACCCACATTGATCAGCACTGTTGTGACCATACTGTATTTAGCTATTTTTATCTAACACCTGGCAGCAACTTTTGTATCACTACTGAAACCATCAATGGAACTATTAAGAAGGAAGACGCATTTAATAACCCCTGCAGTTCTCATCGCAGCAGGGCTAAGCCTAACAGGGATGTTCTTACCATCAGCACTGAATTTCAGTGCTTTTTATTACATTGGCCTTGTTTCATTAGAATTCAGCATTTTTCAGGCTTCTTACAAAACGTGTACTTTGTACTTTGCAAACTCTGTTGGCTGTCATGGGCGAACTCGTGTGGCCAGAAGACCAAGTGACAGTGTTCACAGAAGAGAGGGAAAAGTCAATTTAACTTTAAAATATAAGCACTTACTGAGGCTAGAGATGAAATAATGGAGGCAGGCTCGTCTACCTAGTATGACAGTGGGATCTGAAAGCAGAATAAGATACAGAGGAAAAACAGGGTAAGCAGCTGGAGTGAAATGCCATGTTTGTTAGGCAGGAAATCAATAATCTTTGATGGTCAAATCTTATATAAACCTTTATTCTGGGCCTGCTATGTTTGGAAATTACAACAAAAGAAATGAAAGCTAGTTACTTGGAAAAATCCAACCTCAGGTTGTTTACTAAGCTGAAGGAGTGCCTGGAATCGCTCTTTTGCAGAGGAAAAACAAGTGAAAAGGATTTTGCTGCTGAAGGCTGAATATGTACTCCTCTGGGAACAGAAAACACATGGATTTGATCACACCTCTTTTTCCTACTTCCAGATATCTGTGCTTGCCTAAAGAACTTCAGTCTCTCTGGGATAGCTCAGAAAACCAACATGGTCATTAATTTTTCCAAAGATAGCAGTGGGGAAGCAGCAGCTGAGGCAATGCAGTGACTCAATATGTGACCCTCTGGAGTCCCTGGTGCATCTTAGAAGGTCATTTCAGGAGATGCATTCTGGTGGGACCAGTGGGAAGTGGACCCTAGGGAGCAGCTGGACTGGAGGATGATGTGTTCCAAGTTCCAACCTGAGTGCTCAGATTGCAGCAATGCCAATCCCAGATGTTCACAAATCACAAGGAAAGTCTGAGAAAGGCCTGAGATTGGGTAAAAACTTAAAATTGAGATTTTAAAAAGAAAATAAGTTTAGGGTGTGGTTTATTGCCTTCAGGTTTCTTAGCCTTTAGGGTGCACTTGAGTCATGTTTTTAAGTTTCTCTTTGCTACCACGAGGTCTAGGAAACTTGCTTAAGACCGTAAGCCAAGATTCTCACCTAATCATTTGGTTGTGGGAGCTGAAAAATACAAAATTATGAGAGGTGCAGCACTGACTGGTGGGGCCAGGCATATGGCAAGTAGTTGGGAAAGGCCTCTTTGAGAGGGAAGGGAGGCAGCCTGTGAATGGGGTGCAGCAAAGAGCCCCGTGAAGTCAGTAGGGAGAAGTGTTGAGAGGCAGGTAGGAGAAGAGGATCAGCACTTGAAGAAAGTGAAGTTGGACATATCAGGAGATGGGAAAATGTTTCCTACAATAATCTCCATCAGTTAACCCCTACGAGTCCTTGGTGGAACAAAATGAACTGTTTATCAGGTAAATTTGTTTTCCCACAGAGACTGAGATGATTTCATTGATTTACAGAGAGAACATGTCAACATAAGTGTGTCAGCAGGTCAAGGAAAGTGATGCTTGTGAGGCTACATCTGGAGTGCTATGTACAGTTCTGGGCTCCTCAGTACAAGAGATACATGGAACCCCTGGAGTGGGTCCAGCAGAGGGCTAAAAAAATGATTAAGGGACTGGAGCATCTCTCTTATGAAGAAAGAGAATTTGGGGCCATTCAGCCTCAAGAAGAGATGACTGAGAGGGGACCTCTTCAATGTTTATACATATCTGAAGGGAAGGTGCCAAGAGGATGAAGCCAGGCTCTTCTCAGTGATGCCAAGCAATAGGACAAGAGGCAATGGGCAGAAAGTTCCACCTGAATATGAGGAAGAACTTCTTTACTGTGCAGGTGACTGAGGACTGGAACAGATTGCCCAGAGAGGTTGTGGAGTCTCCCTCACAGGAGATATTCAAGAACTGTCTGTATATAAACCTGTGCAGTGTGCTCTAGGCTGACCCTGCTTCAGCAGAGAGGCTCAACTAGATGACCCACAGTGGTCCCTTCCAACCTTACCCATTCTGGGATTCTGTGGTTCTGTAATTGTTACTCAGAGAAGTGGATGCTTGGTCTGAGCAGAGTGAACTGAGGATGATGAGTGGCAAGTCCAGATTAAAACTAACTGATGAAAAGATAACCTGTGGCAACCCTAACTTAGCTTTTCAGCATAGTAATAGAGTAAAAATCTTTAGAGCCTGCAGAAAGCCAAAGAGCAACTGGACTGAAAAGATGAAACAGTCTTAAGGCCATGAACATTTACATTTCGCAATTTCCATCTTTAAAATATCAAGTTGAGACAGGGGTGGATGAGAGTGTTGAGAGCTGTGAAAGGCCTTAGCTTTGAATTAGCCTTCCTTTAGCTGTGAGGTGCTTCCAAATGCAATGCAGAAGTGTAGATAAGACTGCCTCACAGTTCAAACACAGGGTGAAGATGAAGAAATTGCAGTCGTCCTGTCAACTCAGCCACCAACAGTGGGATGAGTGTACTCAGTGTGATCGATTTTATAGGTGAATGTAGGGAGCTATGTATGCAGACCTTAATAATTCCTCCATGTCCTTCACTGTGAAGCAAAGAAGTGGCACAAAACACTCTATGATATGTTTTACTCATAGTTCAGCAATACCTCCCCTCAGAAAATTCTCAGCTGAATGCAGAAATTGCATTTGCATTTCTGCATGCTCTGTGGAGTCTTTGCCCAACCCAGTGTTAGGCATGTAACTTAAAGGACTGGTCTCTGTCAGGCAGAAAAAATAAATTCTTGCAAGTGGTGAATGAGAGCACAGCCTTCTGTGTCCTCTTGCAATGCTGGTGGCACAGGTGCACTAGCTGGACCCTCAGCTGCACACATCTGTGTATGCAAATACCCTTTTTCTCTGTCCAGAAGCATCCTTGGATGACTCACAGTATTCAAGGATGGTAGTTCTGTTCTGTCTTAAACGCTAGAAAAAAATTGCTCTCAAAAAAAAAAAAAAAAAAAAAAAGGAAAAAAGAAACAAAGCTGGGTTTGTTTTCTTTTCGCCACACAAATACATACTCCATTGGATGATGCTTTTATTATGGTTACTGCTGTACTGAGCAAACTCCTTGCTGCACTGAGAGCTAGTTGGTGTTTTGGGTTGACTAGCTCATACTTAACCATGTCTTCAAAGACTCTGCAGTGATGCCGCATACAGAAAAAAATTGTGCAGATTAGGCACTTTTGAAAATCCCATTTGAAGGATCAGTTCAATACATTTTGTTAAGAAACTTGAACTAAAATAGAACCATGAAATCAAAGCCTAGCTAGCATTAATATTCCACGAAAGTAAAAGTGGAGCATTACAGACATCAAATCAAAATCAAGTCAACAAATTGACTGCAGCACTGGATCAAAATGAAACCAAATTGCCAACTTGATGAAAACCCACAGTGTTTATGATCTCCGAGGATCTATGAAAGCACATGTCTGTTTAGCTAGAAATTTCAAAAAGCACATTTTTCCAGAGCCAGACAGGAAAGTAGCGCTGAGCTGGGTTATTCAATGGTGAAACCACCATTTCAGAGCCAATTATCTAGCTTCCTTCTTTGGATCCTCTTCCTCAGTAATGAGTAAATCCTAATCCCACCTCCTGAGTGCCATCATGTGTAGCACAGTCTCAGAAAAGAACACTCCTGATAAGCAGAAGTTTGTCAGAAGTTATTTACCAGAAATTGCAGATGACAATTTCAGGTCTTTTAGGATCAAACAGAGGCCCCAGAAAATATATTAAAGAGCAATTTTATGCAGTGTTATATATAACTTCTAAGCCTCAGGAACTTTCCTTCCCTCCTCTTCTCTTTTTCAGAGACATTTGTGCACATCTGGAAATATCAAGCTACATTTAAACACTAGGAAACTGAATAGTATAAAAAGACCTGGGTGTCTGCTACTTAACAAAATAGGAAAAGAAAAAGAGATGACTAAGACAAAGGAATGTAACTGCTTCTTTAACTCTCTTATTCCTTCACACTTGCAGAAGAGATGTAAGGATTACAGCTGAGGAGTGAAATGGCAGTGGTCACAACTCTCTTTGATATTAAGGCTTTCCTGATTTTGGGAAAGACTTGTGGAATACTGATGCTGCTTGTTGGTGCCATAATTCCAAATAGAAAGACTCATGGAATACTGATGCTCCTGGTTGGTTCTATAATTCCAAATACTTAGAGATTTTAAAGAGTCTGAAATTTAAGTACTTTTCTAGCAATACAGGTTGCGATCCTGAAGTTAAAACTTGTTTGAATTTTCAGATGTCCCTCAGTCAGATTTGCAGTTCTTTCCTCAAAGGATGAGCCTTGCAGTTTGGTACAACAGGGCTCAAATGCACTCTTACACAGCAACTATAATAAAAAAAAAGCTGTTTAAATTACAAGAATATGGCACTTCGAATGCCACAGAAATAGATACCTTAATAGACTCAAATGCATCATTCAGATGAATACATAACACTATGTAACGGGAGCACATCTTACTGCTTTTGAGGGAGCTGCCATTATTTTTGGTGAGGCAGAGGTCCCAAGATGACACCATGCCATTATTCTATGGAGTGCTCAACACTTAAAAGGGTTTTTTTAAAGGAGCTGTTTGGGAAAAATAAAGTCCAGAACAACTTGGCAACAAGTGGTGTCAAGACTGTCAGCAAAATAAAGAAATAAGAATGTACTGTGTGTCTCATCAACTCAGCTGCACTTCAGAAGTTCTTGCTTTCTGTTTTGGAAATGAACTATAAGTCAGTTTCTCAGCTGGAATCTTTGTCTTCATATACTTTATACAACAATATGTATCAATATAAAATTTGCTGTCAAATCTTACATTTTATGTGCAGTCTACATATAAGCTATTTTTTCCGAACTGTATTTTAATCCTATATTTTCATACTACCATTTTTGAACTTGTTATCATTGTTGATCCTCTTGATTTTGATTGCCAGAGTCACTGCTACATGTTAAAATTCCAAAGGGATCAACACATGACCTAAAGGGCAGTATAGTTCCTGCTGGAAAGCTGGTGATTTAATATCATATGTGCCCAATTTTGAAATGTAAAATTTTGTTGGGGTTTGTTTGTTTTGTTTTTTTTTTTTTTTTGCTATGTTTTTCCTATTGTTTGGTATGGTAGACCACGTGTCAACACTGTGGAAAAAGTGCAACTCCAGTTCTCACCCTTCTTATAGGGTATGCACACAGATTTTCTTCTCCCTTTGAACAAGCTACTACACCATGGTCTTTGTCTGTGTAACTGGGGTGGCAATACATATTTTATCTTATAAGAACTACTGCTTTTATATTTGAGATTTAAGGCTTTATGTATTTCCCATTTTATTAAGGACAAAATAAATGTTTAGATTTTAAGGGTGTTTTTCCAGTGGACATATAAATGTGTATATACACACACACATATGTATATATTTTTTTTTTTTCAGAACTGTGCAGAACAACAGAGAGAGGGTGACTGGAGAACTGAAAGGAGAATTTTTGCCTAAACAAGAGTAGCTGAAGGAAAAAAACCTTTGGGTCAGTAATTTTCATTCTGATAAAGTTCCTTCAGAGTTAGTAAATTGTGAGGTTTACTTTATTGACTGATGTTTTAAGTGAAATCTCATGATTAAAGTCAGCCAGTAAGAGAGAAGCCTGCCTTTATGCATCTTTAATTATGAAAAATTTTATCAACCTTTTAACTTCTACATTGAAACTCTTAAACTGAGTTTACAATTGAATTTAATTTAGAATGCACTGTAATATTAAGAAATCTTAAATATAAAATCATCTCCAAATCAAAAATCCCACAATCTGGAATTGTTTTGAGGGCAAAAGGACAAAAATCTGAGATTTTTGGAAGTCTAGGATTGCCTCCATCTCCAGAACTCCATTTTTTTATTTTAATAAAACTTGAAAAATAGAGTTGATCTCTTGCTTTGTAGATATCAACTGAAAAAAACCCCAAAAACCAAATCACAAAACTGTGCCCAAATTGAGTCTGCAAGTTAGAAACATGATGCCGTTATTTCTCCTGCACAAAGTTTTGCATAGGAAATTGCAGTTATGTATAAAATACTAGTTCAAAAATAGTTTTCCATAAGGGAACATACCTAAGCATAAATACAGAAGAGAGAGTTAAATTGGAACTTTCAGGTTAGCGTTTTTGGACTGAATTTCCTCTCTGGCAGAGAGAGGCAGCTAAAATGAATGATAAAGTGACTGGGTAAAAGCTCTTTTCCCAGTCTGTGATCCCAGCTATCACAAGCTAAAACAAAGTGTTCATATTTATAAGCCATCAGAGCCTTTCCCTAAAACTACCGTTATGTTATGTATTTTTTAATAAATATATAATCACTATAATAGGTATCTCTAATGAATGCAAAGGCTAATTCCAGTGCTTTCTTCCTATCAGAAAATGTTTCCTGCCATTTTAATAGCAGAATTCAGTGGATATTTACATCAGGTAATGCTAGTGACAAATTCCACATTGGCTGCAGTGAGGACTGGGACCAATTTTTGTTATGTTTAAGACTTGTCTTTTTATCCCCGTCAGTGTAAGGAACAGAGATGAGCTTTCTTTTTGATGAGAGAGTTGTGAGTCTCTCCCAGAATGAAACCTCGGGTCTGGATGTCTCTTGCCTCCCTGTACCCCCACCTGTGTAGCTGTCGCTCACCTCCTGCTTCTGATCAGAAAAACAGTGCTTGCAGTAGTTATTCCAGTTTTAAAATATTTCCTTAAGAGAGTTCTATACTACAGATTCACAAACACTTCTTTAGTTTGAAAGAGGGATGTCAATCAGCAGCACTGCCACTTTATGAAACGCTCCTATTTCCAAAATCGCCTCTGTTGTTACAGTCCGACAGACTACCGAAAGAGTTCAAAAAATTGCTGGCTGCAGGGGCTAATTCAGCTCCTTTTTGAGGTGCTTTGTTCTTTCCTCCTGCCATGATTACTGTCCTATTTTTTTCCCTGGTGGTTGTTAAATCACTAAATAATTATGTATTATCAAAGCTGCACATAACAGTGGAGTTTGTTTCATGTTTGATGTATATAAAAACAAGCCGAGTGAGTGAGTCAGTCAGGGTACAGATGGCTGTACCGCTCCACCTGGTGCCTGTGTTAGCACTTATTCATGCCCTCCCTTTGTTCTTCTGGGCTCCTTTTACTTTTTACTGCACAGCGAGAATAGGTACTGACTGCTGCATTATGTGTTCTTTAATGTTTTTTTATTATTACTATGGGAGAACAAAAATGCTCATAAAAGGTGTGTTTTCTTTCTGGGAAAATTTCTCAGTAATGCAGTAGCTCCTGTGTTGGGGAACTTGAACCTTAAAGAATGTGACAAAGATTACTAGATGCCCACTTAGTTTCTCTGGTAGTTACTCAGGCAGTTATTTGGAAGAAATGAAAAATCCCTGAGCCTTCTTCCATGCTGATATGAGTTCAACAGTCTGCAAATATCAACAAAGAAATTTACATGCTTATCCCTTGAGAAGTCTGTGCACATATGGTATTCTTTTTCAAATTATTTAATTAAAGCTCAAAAAACACGTGAAATCTGGAATGCTCACTTCCAAGAACACCTACTACATTAAATCAAACTCCCCAGGTTGACACATGGAGGCGTTTTCTAAAATGTAATTTAATTTTCCCTTCTGTATTCTTCACCCCCCTCCCTCCCCCAATTTCCTCACCTTAAGGAACAGTGAGAGACCTACATTCTCTTTGGCAATTTACTCAATTGCACAAGTGAACCTGGGCAAAGATGAACTCATGCAATGCTGAAATGTGGAGGTTGCTACCTTACATGTTAACTCTTTTTTTTTATATAGACGTGTAAGTAATGGTTTTTATTGTCTGCAGAGTCCTGTTCATATTGATCAGTAGAAATTCTGAACTTTCAGGTCTCAAATGTAACCCAACAGCATTCCTTCTTCTATATTTGTTTAATATTTGGCAGTTGAGGAAATACATAGCAAGGAAAGACAGAGATTACCCACTTTGAGGTAGGAGGTTGGGAATTACCTACTATATTCAGCTGCCACTGCTTGGAAGGAGATACTGTGTTTGCCAAAGCACACTGCCTGTAATTATTAAGCCTGTCAGTTTGATTTCTGCTTTGAACAAATTGGAAAAAGAGGACGAATTCAAAGAAAAAGCTCCAACCCTTGCTAAAGAGATCATAACTATTTTTCAGACCATATGCTGTTTCATTTGGCAAGATATTTACCTTGGTACCTGAGAATATGGGGAACAAATTCTGGATTTTTGCTGGACTGTTCTCAAAGGAGCATACGATGGTATGTGGAGCCATTGCTGGCTATGAACACCCACAGCCTTCTGTGAGAAGGTTGTTCAACCACAGCCCTTCTCTCTGCATCATGGAGATGGGCTGGCAGGTTGCCCTGTGTCTACAGCCCTGTCTGTAGTGTGTTCTACCTGGTGGACTACTTTTATAATAACCAAACTAGTTCACAAAGAAAGGGGTTCAAATTCTTTCATTTCACATGTGGATTCAGTAACTTCTGCTTTTTGCTGCCTTTCATACATGGTCACAGAGGATCAATATTTTTCAGCTCCAGCATTTATAAGTTGGTGTTTTTTAATAGAGAAAAAATGGCACTGTGTAGCCATGTCTGCTTGCTTGCCAAAGCTGCTCCAAATGTTCATATGGACATGCCCAACCTGTCTTGAAACAGCTCACAGCCAAGGCCTTGCCAAGCATTTGACTTCCCAAGTAGTTGCAGAACTTGCTGCCATGGCTGCCTGCCTTGCAGTGATGGAAATAGGTACCTGAAAACTGCCTCCTTTATGGTACACGTAAACTTTTGTCACGAGCAGTAACACAAGCTCTAACTACATGCATAGGGTTATACTCATAAATACAAGAAAAAGTGAATTATTGAAAACTCCCATTTCCACAGGATACTTCATTTGCCCCGTCTTGCTTCCCTCCCAAAGTGTCCCTCTGGAAAACAAGCATCTAATTGTAGCTTGTCAAATTACCGGGGAACTTCAGATAGCTTAGGCAATCAGCAGAAATTTCATTTTGATTACTTCTTGTACAAGTTTTGTACAGAAATGATGCTCTGAAGACTCATTTTAGGGAGAACACTATTATATCGATATAGGTGGCAATTTCTCTCTGATACAGTAACTTTTGGGTTCAGTGAGGACAGCACCATGTCTGCCTCTTCCAGCAGTGAGAGCTGATGTCTCTTAAAATGTGGGACCCTTAAAACAGGAATGTGAGAACTAAATGATCACCTTCAGTTATAGACAGTGCTAATTGCAGAAGTGAAGGAATCATTATAAGCTGTAAACAGAGGGTTCTGCTACTTCTTTCTGATTCTATGTGCCGTAGATGGACACATTGGGTTGGGGGACCCAGCAGTGAAAAATGCTGAAAGTGAAAAACATCTGAAAGTGACAGCCCAGGGAAAAATAGGCTTGAACTTGCATGGATAGTTCTTGGATTATTTTCAAGTGAATGGCAGAATGAAATAATTTGTGATTGTAGATAATGTATGAAGCAATTACCAGAAATATGGTATTTTGGCCCAAGGAAATTCATGTTCAGGCAATAATTTCAAATGTTTTAAATTTTACACTTCTGTACTAGGTGACACAAAATCCTTTTTTGGTAATGGTTATATTACTAAGTCTGTCCTTGCATGCCCTTCCTTGTTAGCTATTCAAGCATTAAAAAGATTTATTAACCATGTCTTAGTTTTAGTAGCCTCTTTTTTCTACTTTTTTAGTTTGCAGTATTTGACATGCAAAATGTTATGTTTTTTTAAACCAAGTACTCCAAGTAGGAAACTACTGCATTGAAGAATAAATAGGCAACTTTAGCTCTGCTCACTTGGACCTGGGAAAGGCTGTACAGTTACAGAAATCCCAGCATTTATATTCCTGGTTAGCCTAGTCCAGCTAGTAACAGTGAAGATGATAATATTAGATATTCCAGAGGTATAAGCAAGATATTTCAAGATGAACAGTACAGAACTAAGTATAATGTGTTAATTTGTATTGTTAATTACTTTTAAGCCTATACAATGACTTTGTGAAAATTTGACAATCTAAATCAATAAATATACTTTCTCCAAATCTTGAAAGAAGTTCTAGTCCACAGGACTAGGATCTTTTTTCCTTTATTGTATGGAAAAAGGATGTATTGAATTACTTTCTCTCAAAGTCCTTTATATACCTACTGCATATCATCTCATTAATTTTTCTCTTTAAATCTTTACAGCATGTCTTCTTATGGATAATATTCCAGTTTCTTTATCCTTTCAAAGTATATTTTCATAATCCTTCCTATATGTACTTTTTTTTTTTAATAACATAAGAAATACAGCATTCCATATACAACACTGGAATGAAATAGAATAAAAGTGTCAGTATTTTTACTCATTCTCTGTGCTCTCTGCATTTTGCATCCTTTCATAGCTTCTGGGTTACGCAGGTGACTCCCAGATCTTTTTTTTCTGAATACTGCTACTTAATTTATGTGCGTAATATTTGAGGAAACTAGAATCAAAATGAATCCAGAGCAGAAATTGAAATCAGAGGAAGAAATAAACTGAGCTGCAATAAATGACCAGAGAAAATAAATAAGGGATCAGCCAA